ATTTAATTCCCAATTGACACTTATTGATTGGTCAGTAGCTTCCCATGAGCTTGTCAATTGGGACAGAGACAATAATATAATTTTTTTATTTAGAATATATTACTCTCAGGTCCTATGAAGACTTCTATCCATTTTGAGATTTCAAGAAAACTTAAATTAATAAATTGTGTTATTTACGATCTTGTGTGTTTTTTTTTTTTTCCCGTTTTAATGGCATTACCCCTCTGGGAGGTCGCGGGTATCCGCTTGGAACGTTAAATTATTAGAAAAATGACAAAATTCAAAAAATATTAATTCTCCCATCTTATATATATGATCTGTTTTTATTTATAAAACCCATGAACTACATGCCTATAATTTGTATTGTCATTTTTTATTTTTACTCTTATTAATTATTGGTTACTCTTATTGGATTAATTATCTACACTCTCTCTTACTCACACTCATGAGAATGTTTTTAAAAATTCGGTTGTATTTTTAATTATTTATTATCTTTAATCAATTTTAACAGATTATTTATTTATATAATTAGGCATTTGTATATTATAAAAAAGAGCAGAAGTGGTATATACCATCTATGGTTTTCAAAATAAGATCTAGTTTAAATTAAATTACAAAGTAGATCTTGTATTAAAAACTGGAGGTAGTATTGCAGGCCAAACAAAAAATTGGACGTAGCATTACTTTTTACTTGTATATATTGAATAATGTAAATACTAATTTCGGTGTAAATAATTAAAAAAGAGGATATTTTTAAAAAAATCGACATAATTTTGATAAGTAAATTGAACTATTTTTTTAATCTTCATAAATTAGTTACCTATATTGACAGTACAATTTTTTATTGTGCATATTTAATGATTTGAATACTAGATTAATGATCTAGATATGACAATTAATAAATCCATACAAATGCTGTTAAAAAATAATAATAAATAAATCCGTACAAATTATCATTATCGATATATATTTACTGCATTACTATACTTGTTGAGAGAATCCATTAGCCAACTAGATATTCAAAAAATTATTAACAATTTCAAAAACGCATTCAATTCTACATCTACCAAGCACATGCTATGGTGGCCAATGGGAGTTAATTTTCATCTATCTCTCATAAATCGAACTACGACACTTGAATAATGTTGGGCCCATAGCATCTTATTTACTTCCATGTTCTAATCAAGCTAAGGTTACATAGAGTTGATAATGCAAACTGTTTGCTTTCTGGGAAAATACCTTAATCCAAAGTAAACTTCATTCACCTAGCTAGCTTGCTTGCTTAAAAGGGTAACTTAAATTTTACACAAAGTACTGTCCAAGCAATTTTATGATCAAACGCCACCATGAATAATAATACTCCTCCTGTTCTTAATATAGGACCCAATTTTTGAGTTGGTTTTGGTCCTAAATATAAGACTCATTTCTTGTATTTATCAATTTTCTCTAAATTACCCCATGGATACTCTCTCAACCATAATCAAGTAAAATAGGGACAGGGGGTATTAAGAAAGATGATTATGGTGTTTTAGGAAAAATGTGTTATTTTTCTTATAATTAACTAACTTATCTAATTTTCTTAATCTAATCAAATTAGTTAAATAGGTCTTATATTAAGGACCGGGAGAGTAACATGTATAAAGTGCACACGTTCATAGGGTAGGCGTGAGGAATATATGAATAGGAAACGCATTAATTCATGAGAGGCACGATATATATATATATATATATATATATATGCAAGTTTGGTGTATTCGAAAGGTACTAAGCAAGTTGAGCTGCAAATGGCAGCTTGTGTTGTCGCCCTCGATCGACTTTTACACTTTTGGGTGTCGGAGTTTTTCTCTTTTGTGCTGTCACAAATGCTGTAAAAAGATTTTACACAAATAGATTGGAGAATAACAGTGTGGTTGCGTTGAATTAATTCATGTGGTGGTGGAAAGGTAGTGGTTGAAGAAATGTCGTTAAAGAGAAGGTAAATCAGATGCCTTCGGCTATAAAATCCTGTACATATTTCTGCAGAATGTATTAACGACGACAAACTAACGTTCAGTGAGTTTGTATTAAAAACGGTATGAGCTGCAAGGACCACAAGATTGGCTTTGTTGTTGTTGATTTATATTCTTGTTTGTGTGGACAATGCGGTTGCTAGGAAAGTTGTAGCAATTGTAAAATATGACAACAATAAGATTTTAGGTTTTGGGAAGGGTGGTGGATTTGGTGGGACAGCTGGAGGAGGGTTTGGGGGTGGAGGCGGGGCTGGATTTGGAGGGGGCCATGGTTTTGGAGGGGTGTTGGAGGTAGATTTGGAAGGGTGGAGGACTAGGAGGTGGTGCTGGCAGTGGCATAGGTAAAGGTGGTGGATTAGGTGGAGGAGCTGGTGGTGGATTAGGTGGTGGCTTTGGAAACAGCGGAGGATTAGGAGGTGGTGGTGGTGGAGGATTAGAAGAAGGAGCTGGCAATGGCATTGATAAAGGTGGTGGATTGGGAGGAGTCGGTAGTGGTTATGGAAAGGGTGGGGGACTAGGAGGAGGAGCTGGTGGTGGTTTTTTAAAGAGTGGACGGCCAAGAGGTGCGGCGGCGGCGGCCCCGGCATAGGTAAGTAAGTGTGGCAGACTGGGTGGAGGAGATGGTGGTGGTAGAGGAGTAGGAGTAGGGGATGGAGGTGGCATTGGTACAAGGGGTGGATTAGGAGCAGGAGTTATTGGTGATTATGGAAAGGGGGGAGGACTAGGAGTAGGTGGTGGCTATGGAAATGCAGGAGGAGCAGGAGGTGGTGCTGGTGGTGCCATTGGTAAAGGTGGTGGAGTAGGTGCAGGAGGTAGTGGTGGCATCGGCAAAAGAGGTGGATTAGGAGGAGAAGCTAGCGGTGGCTTTAGAAAGGACGGTGGATTAGGAGGTGGTACTAGCATTGGCGGTGGTATGGGTAAAGGTGGTGCAATGGGTAAGAATGGCGGACTTGGTGGAGCGGGGGTAATGGAAAAGGTGGCAGACTTGGAACAGGAATTGGAAAAGGTGGCTTTAGAAAGGACGGTGGTGGGCTTGGTGGAGGAGTTGGTGGCGAGCTAGGCAGAGGAGTAGGAGGTGGCATTGGAAAAAGTGGTGGAAGTGAAGGAGCAGGGGTTGGCATTGCAAAAGGAGGTGAAGGTGGATTTGGTGGTGGCGCATGTGGTGGCTTTGGAAAAGGAGGAGGTGGAGGTCTCGAGGGTGGTTTTGGAGGTGGTTCAGGTGCTGGAATTAGAGGAGGATCACGAGGTGCTTTTGGTGGCGGGTTTGGTAGTGGAGGCGGAGGCGGAGGCCGGGTTGGTAGATTTGGTGGACGCGATGGATTTGGAGGTGGTGGTGGTTTCGAGAGTAGTGGCGGTGGTGGAGAAATTGGAGGCCACTAGGCTTCACTATGCATGAAATTACTCTGATTATGCACATATCTAGGATACATGTACTCATTTAATTATTTTTGGAAGATTGTATTTGCTTGAAGTATATATTAATGATGTAGAAGTATAAAAGATGTAATATGTGGCTCCCAATACTCAAGTGCGTACGTACACGCACACGCACAAAACCAAAGGCCAGGGAGCGAGGGGAGAGGGGGGGGGGGGGAGGGGGGCTGTTAATTATTAGAGGGTGACTGTGGGTGTGATCGATTAATCAGCATTGTTTATCGGAGATGACATGCAATAGTCAATTTTTGCTTCATATATGAACGCTTAATTGGTACTTCAATGAACTGCTAAAGAAGCATGTCATATATGATAGAAGAATGTGTGATTATACATTAAACAACAATAAAAGTTTATTGAAATAAATTATAATAATGGTGATTCTTTAAATAACTACATCTTCCTTATTTTAATTTATATATATATAACATATCAATTGAAAATATATATCATGCATATATTAAAATAGTTTTGATATAATTGGATTATTTAAGTGGGTTACTTCAATAGAATTAGACAAATTAATTCGGTCCTATTAAAAATATTTCTAAATAAAGTCTCAACCTAACCTCTCAAATTGGTTAGTTAAACGAGTCACTACGTGTTTTACTTTTTCTAATTGCAGACAAAAATTACTATACTATACCGAATAATTAAAAAATCCAAAAAAAGAAGCCAATTTTTTTAAAAAATAAAGTTTATACATTGGAAAAATTAAAAAAACTAAATTGAGAAATCTGTTCGTAGAACTCGACGCCTATATCAAGCTTTCCGCAATTAACTAAGAAAATTCATCTTTTATTGTGTTACTTGCAACCACCCCACTTCCAAATTCCAAACTAGCTATAAACAAAAACACATCACTAGTAACCATAAGCCATTAAGCCACAATAAATGTACCAAGCACAAGCAAGAGCCCAAACAAAGAAGGAAAAAGCCCAAAAGATAAATCCCAAACCCAGAATCTAACCCCAAGGCATTCAATAACAAATAAAAACTTCAACGACCTGTAACTATGAACCAGTTTAAAATGACTTATAAATATCCTTTTAATCATGATTTACAGAATAAAAGATAAATATATGATAATTTTTATCTCAACGTAAGCAAAATGCGCTTACAAGTGATTTCTCAATTTTCCATCTCACATTCAAGCAACACTATTTTCTACTTGTACGCCTTCACTTGGCAGCCAGACAACGATTAGCATTTTTGGCTCTGAAAGGGACAATGTAATTGATCAAACAGTACCGCCATATTTTCCACAAATGAGATTATCCACGAAATCAAACTGCATGTCATGTATATATAGGGCCTTCTTTTCACAGCAAATACTTGCTATAACACCAACCTACATATTTCTACACACAAACCCTCCATACAAACTTATTGCGTTGAAAAAAGATTTCTTCAGCTTACTCCTAATAACTCCTCTATCCTCAACATCACTTGGTAAGAAATACTTACCCGTATTCATAATTTCTCTTACCTTAATATTACTGTTATCTCTAGATCTTGTTTTCGTACTTTTAATTCTACCGGGATAGGAATGTTAAGTATTTGTAACTTATAAGTACTTTTATCATGAATATCACTTTGTCTTTCGTCCAAACCAAAAAAAAAAAGAAAGAAGCATATTTCTTGAGTTATTTGCTTTCCAAAATTGAAGAGAAAAATACTCGGAAATTAAAGTTTAAAAAGTCCACAAACGGTGCTTTCAAAAAAATTTCAAGGGAGTGAGAATCTGACAACAAACAAACAGGTACACTTTGTGCAAAGCGGATGAGGACAAAAGTCGTGAGGTTACAAAATCCAACTTAGTTTTCAGCCTGTCCAAAATACCTGCCTGAAATTGCCGCTAGTATATTCAGCATCACGACTTCATCATCGAGTTCGGTCTTCATAGCTCGTAAGTTAGCACACTTCCGTAGCAGGCTCCTTAAAGCAGCACAAGAGTCAGCATCCAGTGGAGCATCAACTGTTGCACAGAGAGCAAACAGCCACATGCAATCATTTCTTGTGATCGCGTCTATCGGCTCCAGCGAGCGAATCCGTTTATGCAACATTGACACTCGGGCTACAGAGTCCATTCTTAAAATTGTAGACAGCAAAGGACAGCTGCTGGAAGTATCCTTATCTTCTGTAGTCAAGGTAGTTTGATCAGTGGTCTCCCTGATGCTCTCATGGCTATGATGCTGGGGTTCCTCGATCATTACAACACTACTAGTGCCAGACTCGTTCACAGTTAATTCTAGGGAATTCACAGCTTGCACCCTTGAAACATCAAGCTGCGAGAGTTTCTGGCATCACGAGTTCGCAAACAATTAAATAAGGTTTGTTATTTCATCATCCGAAACATTATAGCTCAATCAACTAGCAATAACATCATGTTGAATTCTTTGTTTGAAGAAAATCAAATTCCCAGTAACAAAAGTATCAAACATTATAACTTATGGAAGAGGTAAAAAAAGGACAATGTATTCTAGGTAGCATTGTCAATAGAAGTCATGATACGTTGTCTTCTGTTTTATGACAAAAGATGACCATGAGTTAAAACTTCCATTCTGACATAAAACTTCAGAAGACCGTGTGGAGCTATGAATACATATTCAACAAAGAACGAAAAAAGTTCTTCAAGAAGACAATAACATACCGCTCTAAGCTCTGAAAATTCAGTAAGAAATGCATTCTCCACTGCTTTGATGGCAAGAGATGCTCAGGACATTTGGCCATATCAGGAATCTTGGGCATGTAAGCACTTTGTTCCTTGTCAAGTTTACTTCTATCAAGTTTGGCTATCGTCACTTTAGGGATTTGAGCAGCTTCCCATCTTAAGGAGGAAACATGGATCAGTTTACAAACTACTTTTCTTCCATGCTCTTAACTAGGAAGCTTAGTGATGGTAAATTTTTCTTTTTTTCCCGGTAGAATCTTAGTGATGGTAAATTACTTCAAAAGTAATATCATTGGAGTAAATAGTAACCATGTAGAGCTAAGTGAAACCAGAGTGGCAGCCAGTAGAGTAATATGCATTAATCAAGGGAAATAAAAAGCAGTAACACAATAACATGGACCCTAAAACTTTAAGAACGCAGAATTCTCCCTCAAAGAAATATTCCAAGTTTTCCATTTATTCTCTCTCCTTTGGCTAAACTCTTCACAGAAGCATCTCTCTTCCCCTACCAGCCACACATGCAAAGCAGCCAGAGTTTGGTTAGCTGAGTTAATTTATCAGTCTGCCATGCTTCACCTCTAGATCCTTTTCTTTTTCTTTTTGAAGGGTCAAAGTGCATTTTTGTGCCTCAAAAATATCCTCAGGGGTTATGAGCACCCTAAATTGTAGAGCAATGTGGAGCAGTTGATGTTTCAAAACAAGTCTAACCCAATTTTGACTTAAAATTAGCTATTAAAAAGGGAAACATTGCACCGGTCTTGAAATATCATGTTTTTCAGAATACCCCCATTACTCTTCTAAAATTACTTCCAAGGGAAAAACACACTTTAATCCTTTTTTTTCTATCCAATTCGCCTACCTTCTTCCGACATATAACTTAAAATTATTGGATTTAACTTGATTTCCCTCAATTGGTCCATCACTTGATGCCAGAAGTCATAGTTGCTCCAGCTCATCTGATGCTCAAAAACCACAGCTTAACTGCAAACCAATGAGTTGATGGATGCACAATAATAGTTATTAAGAAGTGTTTAATATATAGCTAAGTGTGTGTAGAGTGTGTTCTGACTATAATATCTTAGTTACTTGAGTTGTAATATCTCTTGAACTATTGTAATTAATGTTTAAAATGACTAGGATATTAATGAGATTTCAATACTCTGGATGTATTATTCTATAACCAAAGCTCCACGGATAAGCTCCGATGGAGAAATTACAGCAGAAGAACGAAAACAGAAATGCTCACGGCACTCTTCCAGAGTCACACGGACCCTCATAAACTTCCCTCAGTTTCTCCACGCCTCCCCCGTCTAACCCACCCACAAAATATACTCACCCCTTTCCATAACTAACTTGTAAGAATACCCAAAATTACCCTTAACACATAAGAAACACTAGTCATCCGAATTGGGCTTCTTCCTCTGCCTAGCATACTTCAACTTAGGCCCATGCTCATTCTTTCCTTTTTATCCTTATTTTCTTGGATAAATGTTGAAGTTATTAGAGCTCTTTTCAAGCATCTTTTTCTGATTTATTTTCTTGTTGCTCTTTGTTAATTAAGACCTTGTAATGCTTGTCTTTTATTAATATTATTCTTTTTTATCAGGAAAAAAGGGGTTAATGTTTTTTTGTCCTTAAAATTTGGGCTCATTTTTATTTTAGTCCTTCAAATTTCAAACCCATGGTTTGAGTCCTTGGAATTTAGTCAATCTTAAAACATTAGTCCCCGTAGATGTAACGGTGTTAAAATCTATTAAATGTCATAAATAATGTTAAAGTAGTGATATGGACTTATCAAACAGCACCTAATATGGATAACAAAAAGGAAAAAAAGAACATGTATTCAAAACGTAACTATTTAGCCCCCCGTTTTATCTTTCTTAGTGTTTGTTTCAAGCGTTGTTTGCTACATTGTATTCTATTATCTACACAAGATCCAATTTCATGTCATCTGGTGAGTCCACATCACCAATTTTACAATCATTAATGACACTTTAGCAGATTTTAACACCATTGCACCTTCAAGGACTAATATTTTAAGACATGCTAAATTCTAGAGGCTAAAACTATGGATTTAGAATTTGAGGGACCAAAACCAAAAGAGGATCAAAATTCAGGGACAAAAAATTATATTAATCCAAAAACAATGTTAAAAACCGACTGCAAAGAATGAAAAAAGAGTTGTAAGAGGGGAATGGAGAATTGCATTCTTTTGATTAGGACTCTAATACTTCTACAAGCGTGAGGGCCTCTATTTGTAACCATGAAAAAGGAAATTTACAATCGTAACTTAGAATCTAGCGAACTGTAAGAAATCACCCTTAAGGAATAAGCCTACTTGCAATTACAATAACCGAAAGCAATAATGATCTTTGGGGGGGGGGGGGGGGATTAAGCTATCTACTACTTCTACACTCTTCATAGCATATGTCAGTCATACCCAGCTTGCATAAGTTAACAGCAAACTGATTTCTCAGAACAGCTTTGGTCAATACATCAACTGTCTGTGATAATGAACGACAGACGGAGTCTCAGTAAATAATTGGTTCTGTTAAGATGGAATATCAGTTATATCTTTTCGGTCAACATTCTCATTTTTCAATTGCTAAACAATGTGGCGACAAAGCTTACTTATGTTTGGTCACATGGACAGGTTTTGCTCGCTAACTTTTCACCTTTGTCAGAGATTACTATAGATGCACACGATTCCCCCCCCCCCCCCCAAAAAAAAAAAAAAAAAGAGCCAATGTCATCTATTTGGTCACTTTTTATCTTTATTTACAAGTATCAAAAAATAAAAATAGAAAACAGAACACAGCCATAACATGTGTATGAATTCGATATGGTGCAAGCCTTCCCTTTCACCATAATTTTAATTTTTATCCATCATTTTACAGGATACTTTGTAAGTTCTTTACCAGAAAAGTAACCACTGAATGGCAAAGAATAGGATTTTAATGACATTAAAGGTCTACTATACCCCCATCAATGAAAGCCCCAAATAACGATGGAAATGGGCTGTAGTGTATAATTTCAAAGCCTTAAAAGAGTGACAGGCCCCAATAATTTTTATAATCAATATTTGAAGAGTAGAACAATAAAAGAGATAGAAAAATAACAAGAGCATGAATGCATCACGGAACCAGCAATCAGCAGTTAACAGTCAGAATAATACCTGACACGCCTAAGATATTCCCATCCATCATCTGGTGGACCCAAATCAAAATTTGGTTCTCCATCGACCAAAAAGGCAGGTTTCTGAATGCTATCATAATCACTGTCACTATCTTCATCTTCATAGCACTCAACTTCAGAAACTGTGCCCCTGTTCTCCTCACCCAGATTATTGCTACAGGAAGGGTCCATAGGATTCACATTTTCATTACTGTTTATTTGTGGTAATTCATTATCCATATTTTCAGAACACACTGCACCAGAAAGCAATTTCAAAACCTTTAGCATTAGCATTAGCAATTAAAAAAATCACAAGTGTTTTGAGAATGAATATGCATCTAAATGCAATCTTGATAAAAAAGCAACAGCAACCAGGTAACGATTGTCCTTCTCAGACCAGAACAACGTGGACAAGAAATTGAACTTCTTATTGAACACAGTCAACCATAAAACTTTCAATGTACAATGATGAATGAAAACATCCACTCATCCCCATTAGTGTTTGACAAAGCAATGCTAGTATTTTGCGCATGATTTTTCATATACAAGGGCATTATACAAGTAATCATGCACATTGCAACTACAGTCAGTGCCTAAGTAATTGAAAACTAGTCAAATATCATGTTGCAGATTTTATCATTCCAAAGTTCCTTTTGCTCTTTCCTCAATGCACATAGACATTCATATATCTCCATCTTCCATTAGCAGCACCCACACCTGTCCATAACAGAAATTGGAAACATCAAATTGACACACTGACCACAGGCAAAGAGAAAACAGGTGCTTCAAGGGGAAAAAACAATGACTTATGTTAAAGCTTCGTCAAAATACGATCTTACTATTTTCACAGAAGAAAATAAGTATAAACTCACCACCCAGCCCCATAATTTTTTTTTTCTTTTTTTTCAACAAAAAAGGAAAAAGAAAGAAAGAAAGAAAGAAAATGAAATTGCGGTCAGAGGGGAGTAACGCTCAGAAGTAATAACTGGATAAATATTACAACCACTCTGACATTGAAAATTAAAAAATGAGCATGAATTCAATCAAGATATAAATATGGGTATTCAAGTCATAGCGCAATGATCCTTGTGAACCACAACAAAAAGCAAGGGGGAGAAGCATGTTGAGAGAATGAGTATGTAAAACAATCGCCTCCAAAATCATGGGATCTTTGTAATTACAAACAAACTACGGAACATTCAACCAATAAACAAGTTAAAGAACTGTAAATTTTTACTCAGATACATGAACCGCCATGAGAGTGAGTTGCTTAGAACAAGATGTATTTTATCTCTCTCTCTCTTATCAATGTAAAACGGATGAATAACATAAAAGGTGCCGCATAAAAAAATATTGACTAAAAACGATGAAAACAAAAGTAACCATAATATCTTTAATTACTCCACATTTGACAAGACAAACATATTTAGTAGACTAACAAAAGCCAAGTGGTTAGGTAATTGGCAATGTCTATAACAATAAGAACTTAAAAAACAAGAGTTGTGTACAATGTTTTGACTCTGCTTGCTATATTCACATCTTAACAACAGGCCCTGATAGTAAATGGCTATAGACCTATAGTTCAAATAGGTAAAGTACTTCAACCTTCTGATTGCATGGACCGTGGACATCCAATTTTCAATATACTAACATTCTAACAATGTGTAGATAGTTCAGGCCATTGTCATGTACCAAAAAAAAAAAAAAAAAGAAATCCCTACTTTTTACTGGAAAATGAACACAAAACTCACCTCCTAACACAACACCCCCGCCCCCCCAAAAAAAAAAAAAAAACCAAAAAGAAAAGGAAAGGAAGAATGAATGAAAAAAATGATATTCCGGTCATAGGTGGGTAAAGATCAGAAATAATAGCTGGCTAATCATTACAAGCACTCTGAAATTGAAAATTAAAAATAATGAGCGTAAATTCACCAACATACGCATGTACATTCTTTTCATAATGCAATGATCCTTGTGAACTACAACAAAAAAACCA